AGTTGCTGGCAGTGTCCTTGGTGGCTGGCGGCGCCGCACAGGATCACACCAGTGTATCACACCTCTGCCGCGTACCTGCCTCAGTTTTTTTCTTCGCTCCGGTGCTCGGACGCTATGATGCGCGCCGCGCCCAATGCGCCAGTGTGTGCGGGCTGCACTATTATGCCGGCTAACGCAGGCTAACGCACTCGAATTAGGCGCGAAAAGACACCCGCCTGACTTTGCTCGGAGATTTACTGGTTCTGGAGGTTTTGGGCTGGGGGGAAGCAATCCGGGAAGCCATGCGAGCCCAGCGACGCGGGGGTGACAAATTCGCTTGCCTAGCTGTTGGGTGCGGCTCGCCAGGGCTCGGCTCGGTGGTTCGGCACGGCGTGGCACGGCACCAAGGTGAGGTCTCGGTGGCCCTGGCCGGCCGGCCGGTCAGGCGTCGTCCGGGGTCCGGGGTGGCCCGGCCAGGGGGAGGGGGAGGGGGCAAGTGACGCAAAAAGAGATCTTCATCTGAAAGAGAGCTCAGTCAGAGTCGGGGAGGATCACTTTGAAGGAACGTCTCAATTCGGAGCCTCGCCGCCGCGCCGGGGGCTCGCCCGGATCGCCAGCTGTGCGTGCGGCGTCCACGACTCGGCCAGCTTCCCTTTCAGGGTTGCCAACCTTTTTCCTGAAATTTTTACAAAAGGGTGAAAACGAAGGTAAAGGTGCGAGAAGAACGACTTACAAACAACTTTCCCCCAAAACAACAATGAAATTACTTCTCGTCCCGGCTGCCCCGGCGTGGGCAGCTCTCATTTGACGCGTCTTTTGGACGTCATAATCTTGACCAGTTGTTTTTTGGCGGGGTGCGTGGCCACCCCCGTGATCATAACAGGTTTTTCCCTCCCCATGCCTTGCCCTCTCTTTACTCAATTATATTTTTGAGAAGGGAAAAGAGACGAAATGTATCCCATTTTTTAATGTGCATCGCGACAAAAGGCAGGCGAGGGCGCGTGTCTGCCGAGGTTGCCCAGCCTGCAGCGCCTGCAGCTCGCGGTGCTGGTCGTGCAGTAGGTGATGCCGCACATGTCCGCTCCCCTCCAGTCTGGCCTGCAAGCCTGCTGTCCTGCACAGGCGCGGCGCGGATCAGACCCTCGCGGATGACTGACCATCCAGAACCCTTCCCGCTCAGAGGGGCACTGATATGGATTATTATAATTTTTAATTTAGCTCTCTTGTTTCGTATCTCCATATCCCCCTCCCTCCCCTGCCATGTGCATCGCACCCCCCGTACGCTTATCGAGATACCCCTTTTCGAGGACGCAACGGTAAAACGGACTGATCGAGTGTTTGAAAGGGGATGTTGCAATCGTGACTATCGCACCGTGCGTTAGCTTATTATCGAGTGATCTTCACACCGTTTTATTGTGTATTTTTTCAGCCAAAAAGCACTGTCAGAAATAAAATTTCAAAACAAATTTTTAAAAAAATTTAAAAATTCAAAAAAAAATTAAATTTACCAAAACCTAAAAAATTTAAAAAAATTTAAAAAAGGGTAGGCCCAGGACCTTCAGCGGATCCTCTTGCATGATGTCTGACTTTGCTCCGACTGCATGCGACTGCATGCGACTGCAGGGCGCGTGGATCGGCGCCGTCGCTGTGTCGCGTCGCCGCGTCGCCGCGGCATCGCCTTACGTACGCCGTAGTAATGGCGCGACGCGATACGGCGCTATCAGGACGCCACGACACGTCACGGTGTGGAGGGGAAGGGGAAGGGGAGTGTCTCCGTCGCGTCACCCGTCAAATAATTCAAATTTCGGAGACGGAATCCGCGTCAGGTCGACACGCGTGGGTAGTAGTAACACGGGGGTGTTCATACTACTGTCGGTCAGTGGTCAGTAACTTGTAAGTTGAGGTTACTTTAGTGAACACGCCGATAGAAGGAGCTGCTTGAAATCGCCTGCAAGTTCACCCAGCACCACCACCAGCACAACAACAACAACAACAACAACGGAATGGTGTTAGTTTTGGCGCGGTGGTGGTGGCTGCACTGTCAAAACGGCGGCCGTGACGCGATGACTGATGCAAGGCGGTGGTCATCGGATCGAAGCATCTGGGCCGTTCACCTCGTGAGAGCCTTTCGCTTATCGCCCGAGCCATGATGCTGCCCAGGCACGCGGCCACACTATACTGCAGCAAGTGCAAAGGCCGCCCGGCCCTCGGCGCGCCCGGCCAGGTGTCGTCATGTTATTTTCACTCGCGGCGCCCGGTCGGCCTGCTCGTCGCCGTGGTGCTGCTACCGCCTGGTGCCGCCTGGTGCGCCCACTCGGCATACTTTCAAGTCATGGCCCCGCCCCGCCCCGCCAGGGCACAAACAAGCGTGCGCCGGCGCCGCTGCGTGGAATCCGCTACTGCCCTCGCGAAGGGCGCGCCGGCCGGGTCTCCACGTGCCTCGTGGCCGCGGACGTCCAGGACGACGTCGTCATCTCGCTGCAGCGCGCGCAGTTTCGCTATCGCGGAACGTGTCTGGAGCACGCTGCTGGCTGGCTCTCCGTTTGGCGCCCAGATTGAATGCTATCTGATGGCGGGGCGGTCCGCTCCTTCCACGCCATTTCACCTGCCAAGGTGCAGGCTACCCGTCCGCTACCCGTGGAAGGCACGAAGGCGCACCAAGGCGCGCGAAGGCGGCAAGCGCACTTCCCGCCACTGATCGGAGGCGGATTTCCTGCTAACCGTCCCGACCCAACCCCCGCCGGGGCCCCGGCCCGCCAGCTAGCTAGCTTCCTCGTCGAACGCCGCGGCGCCGCCCACGCCAGCACACAGTGGCGTGGTCCAGCCGCCCTCTGGCCGACCTCACCGCCAAGGACGCTGACGTCATCTCGCGTCATTTCGTGCAGGCACCGAAGGCTTCCCGAAGGCTCTCCAAAGGCTTCCCGAAGGGTCCTTGCCGGTGTTTTTTCGTCTCGTCCTCCCCTCGGCGCCCTTACCAGTGCTATCGCCGTTTTCTGCATGGCCAAGCGGGTCGACTGGGGTGCCTCCATTCCGTGGACGTCGCCGGCACGGGGGCGGTGTGGTTGCGGATGCGGGGTGCGTGGGCGGTGGCGGGGCGGGGCGGGGCGGGGTGGCGGGGGCGTCCCGGTCGTTCCGGCGCTGTGTTTGTGGAGACGCGTTGGCTGCCGCTCGTTGACATTTCCGTGTGTTGCGCCACTGCTGCGGCGGTGCGCTGCGGCGGCGTGCTGCGGCGGGGCGCCCTTCCGGTCAAGGATGTGCGGGGGTGGCTCCGAGCCCCCGCCGCCACCAAGCCGGCCACCACGCCGGCCACCACCTTGGTCGCGTCCCTCGCGCTTCTGTCGTCGTCGCGGTGGTGGGCAGGGCTGGGCTGGGCAGGACTGGGGGCGGTCGACTGGATCAAATGGGATTCCGTCCGCAAGGGGTTGCACCACACCACCACCGCGCGGCGCGGCGCGGCACGGCGCGGAGGGCCTGCAGCACCACAGCGCTGCAGCGGACAAGTGGAACCTTGCATAACGTAAATCAGGGGCAAACAGTATGATGGGATATGGGCTGTGAAATTCAATGCCCGCGCCGCACAGGGACGCCGAGTGTGCGTGTGTGTGTGTGCGCGTGTGTGTGCGCGAAGGAGAGGAGATTTCCGACGCGTGCTATGCGCTCCAGTATGTTTCCATTTGGACGCTGCGACGTACACAGCGAACACGCTCGCGCACTCATTCCGGTACGAATTATACACGAGCACACACACACAGCCAGGTCTCACACACACGCGGGATGACCACCGGCAGGTCCCTGACGCGAGGCTGCCGCCGCCGCCGCTGCACGCACACTAACACACACACACACACACACACACACACACGTGAGCAGTCGATCGAATATATACATACTTCCCGCGTCGAAAAGGCGGACCATTTTATATTTCCCGTCCGTTTTTCCGGTTATTTTGAGCTGCCGGCAGTCAGGCAGGCAGGCAGGCGGGCGGCCAGGCGGGACAGGCAGGCAGGCAGCCACGTCACGGTGCGCCGCGAGATACCATCTGATAAGGAAGTAAAAAGCGCGATGCTGAGGAGAGTGACCCACCCCTCAGCACGTGGAGCAGCGGGGGAGGGGAGGGGGGAGCGGGAGGGGAGGGGGAGAGAGTGGTGGGGGAAAGAGAAGGGGAGGCTATCGTAAGGTTGTGAAACGGGCCGCCCCATCCTTTCAATGAGATGAAAGGCCTGGAAGGCCCCAGAGGGCGGCGTGGCGTGGCGTGGCGTGGCGTGGCGTGGCGTGGCGTGGGGTCGTCCGGTACCAGGGCGGGCGGGGCGCGGCGGGGGTGCGACACATTGCGTTGGTGTTGCGACCGCGCCGTCATGCCGCGGTATCGGTCCGCGGCTCCGCGGTTCCGTGCCGCGGATTAGGCAGCGTCCTGTGAATCAGCAGCGCGATTCCGTCGCTCCGTCTCTCTCGCTCTGCTCTCGCTCCCCCGCGGCGCGGCGAGTGCGAGGGAGACGGAGCGACCGAGCCACAGTAGCCGGCAGCGGTAATCCGCGCAGCTATTCCTGCGTTGCGCAACGGGCATCGCCAAGTGCTGCGGATTCGGTGGGACGACACAGCACTGTGCCGGCCTCTGCCCCGGCCTCGGCGGACTCTCCGGACTCTGGACGGCGGCAGGCCGGGCCGCGTGAGCCGCGTCCGGGGTCCAGGACTAGTCCAGGAGGCCGGGGGCGTCGGGGCGTCGGGCGTCCGGGGGCCAGGTAGGGCTCCAAAAGGTAAGAGAGACCTATTTGTGAAGCGGGTGCATGGCGAAGGAGGAACCTGTGAGACCTACACTAGGCCGCCCCTGAGGGGCCGGCGGGGCGGCGCGGGGCGGCGCGGGGCGGCCGTTGTGTGCACTGGAGAGGAGGCCGCCATGGCCGGGCCGCTCCGCCCGCTCCGCCGTGCGCCGCGCAGCTCTGCTGCTCTGTGGGCCGGCGCGCTGCTCGGCGCGCTGCGCTCGCTCGCTCGCTCGCGCTCGCTCAGTCAGTGTTAGTCCGCCAGCCGAGCCAGAGCGAGCCAGAGCCGAGTCCTGCTCCGCGCCTCGCCACCGAGCTCGCCACCCTACGCCGCGACTGCCGCGACTCCGCGACACGAGCCCGCCGCGCGCCGCGCCTCGACCCGCGCGCCGCGACACTGCCCGAGTTTGCCGAGTCCATGTTGGCAAGTCCGAGACTGGCTGGCAGGGGCCGGTTAGGGCCACCGACCGCGCCGAGCCACCCCGGTGGAGCCACCCCGGCGAACAGTGTGCGCGCACCTCGCGCCCAGCAGCCCAGGATTAGTGCAGTGTGATACAACAACTGTGAACGTGTGTGAAGGTGTGTGTGTGTCTTGGTGCGCGTGCGGCGCGTGAAATGCCCCCCAGCCGGAGGGTTCGCGCCGAGGCCCCCACCGCGCCCTCCGCGCCCACCGCGGCGCCCGCCCCCCGCGCCCCGGCCGGCATGCCCTGCGCCACCCTCGCCCTCTTGCTGGACCCGGTACGCGACGGACTCCGTGGCTGCCTTCGCGGCCCGTACCTCTGAACTGCTGGATGCACACCACTGCGCCAACGTAAGTGTCGAAAAACTGTGTCCGGGAGCAGCCTCCCTCACTTGGCGCCGAGCGACCGACTTCCAGGAAGAGGAGGAAACACCTTGGAAATAAATAATCTATGCAGTTTGCAAAAAAAAAAAAAAATACTGCAAAAAAATACCCGTGAAAAAAAATATTAAAAAATTCACGGCTTTTTCTCAAATTTTGAACCAAATTTTTGAACCAAATGGTCAAGTTTTAAAACATTTTTCAAAATTTTGTTTGTAAAAATAAAAGCCATTTTTGAAAAATTTTCTTTGAATATAAGAGTCTAAAGTGGTTTCCCACTCGTCCTGGGTGAGGCTGTCGCCGCCTCGGCCTGCGTGGCCGATTTTCCTTCCATCCCGGCGCTGCCCCGCCTGCCCGGCCTCGGCCGGTGAAACTGGAAATCAAGTCATGGATCTCGATCGCACATCGCACTGCAACGCACCCCCTGCAGTGTGGCTCACGCTGTGCTCCGCCTCCGCTTGCTCCGTTTGCTGCCTCGCCGTGCATCGTGCCTTGCTTGCCTTGCGGTGCAGTGGTGCCGGCCGGGCTCGACGGACGGGGACAGACAGAAGCGTAGATCCGTCGCATTTGGAGTCCCAGGGGGTCCGGCACAGTCCGGCAGCACACCGTACTGCACCTGTATTCGAGGAAGTTGACTCTCAGCGGGCTCGCCCCCCGGCCAGCCCGCCCCGGCCAGCCTTCCTGGACCGCGAGAAAAAATGCTGCCTGCGACGGGTTGACACCCACCGACCCAAACTCTTGAACTGGACTGTACGGCCTTGGCGCGATTATCACTCATTTGCGATAAATGCCTGCGCGCGGTGTGACGGCGTTGCGGTGCTGTACGGATTCCGGCCGGCGACGAGGTCTCGGACGAGGTCTCGAACCCCTTGACGACGACCTGCCCGGCCTGGTGCCCTGCCTGGCGACCGGCCGAGAAGCACCGCCATCCGCACACGTCGAACGTGTCCGCGTCTCCTCGCGCCGCCGCGCGCATTCTCGCGTAGCCGAGCGGAATCGGTAATAGACTGCGATGCGGGAGGTCGGTGGTTCGAATCGCCCCACTTACCCGGCGTTTTTCGACCCCCACGCGCGCTGCTTTCTCGTCGTCTGATGATAATTTCGGGGTCGTCGACCCGCGGCAGGCAGGGCGAGCAGTGCTAGCAGTCCGTGCCGCGGTGATGGCCGTGGCACACTGGGGAATGGGATGGTTTTCAAGCAGGGTAGAAAGAAGACTGTTTGGCGAGAGCGCGGTGTGGTCCCCGCGCCGCGAGGCAAGGCGAGTCCTGACGGACCGCCTGACGGACCGCCTGACGGACCGCGGCGACGCATTACAGCAAAGCCAAGGCAGGCCAAGCCCAACCCCTTGCAGCCAACGCAAACACGGACTGTGTGTGCGCTGGGCTCGATGGAGTGCCTCCAGCCACAAATATACCGAAAGGAAGAAAAGAAAAATGGGCGAAAAAGATGGATGCGCGCGATTTGCGTGACTGTACGTACGAGAAGCAAGGCGGTGACTGTGAGAGCGACGACGTGCAGCAGACTCAATAAAGCTACTAGCGGGCCGCACGTCGGCACACGCTGGTTCACACGCACACAGTCTCAGTGAGAGATGAGGCTGCTGGACCTCCTGCAGCTAAGGGCCGGCCGTCGTCGAGCGCATCGGCGCGGAGAGGAGGGTTCGGCGATCAGGCGACCCGGCCAGGCCCGGCCAGGCCCGGCCAGGTTCGCCAAACGCAGCTTGGCCGCACCGCCTTCCTTTTTTAGCCCCCGAGAGCGAGGGAGAGAGAGAGAGAGAGAGAGGCGGGGAAGGGGTGCCAAAAGGGAGGGTATGTCTCCTCTCTTTTCACTCTCGATATTTCGGGCGATAAATCAAACGAGGTGGCTCGGACGCCTCGGCCGTCTGTCTCTCTCGCACTCTCGGGGCGTGCCGGCGTGCCGTCAGGGCGCGAGAGAGACGGAGTAGCCGGCGCTGTGGTGCATGGCCTGCATGGCGTTTGAGGCGGGGCGTCGTAGGTCGATCGCCTTGCCAGTCCGACGGTCCGACTGCCAACTTCACCGACGCCTTTTCTTCCGTGGATCTCAGAGAGGGGAGCCTTTTCCAATTTCCTCCCACTTTTCAACACTTTTCCCCCTCAGTGTTTTTGTTATGGTTTTCGCCGGCGGTTCCTCTTTGTAATTATCCTAATTTATCCTGCCTTTATGGCTGTAATGCCGCTGTTTGAGGCTCCTCTCCCCTCATGACGCTCGGCCACCCTTGCGTCGCTCTGCCCCTCTCGCACCCCTCTGGCCCTTCTGGACGCCCCGCGAGTGCGAGAGAGACAGAGCCCGCGAGCACAGCGCAAAGACCCCTCGAAGAGCTCGCGGCGCCGCTAGGCCGCGAGGGCACAGTGCACCTTCCTGTTTGCGGCCATCCTTTTGTTCCGGAAACGACAAAAGAGTTTCCGAGTTCTCTCTCTCGCTCCGTGTTTATTCAGCCGTCAATCACGGACTGACTTCCGACTCTTTCTTTCCGTGCAGTGTGCAGGTGTTAAAGCTTGTGTCTGTGCGCGCGCCGCCGCGTTCGTCGTTTCGGTTTGCACGCGTCAAATGGGCCGGCCGCTGGGCGGACAGCGCGGCCCGCGCGGCTCGGCGTCAAATGGGGCTTGTTTTGGCGCTCGCCCGGCCGCTGCCGCTGGGATTCACGGGGCTTTGCGCGGTCCACGCCCATCGCTGCAGCAACCTTCTCGCACTCATGGGGCGTCCAGTACAGTGCGAGAGAGACAGAGTCCTGTTGGGAGTGAGGCCCTATAGCGCGGTGCCCTGGCAGGGCCGGGCAGGGCCGGGCAGGGCCCCGGCAAGGCCCTGTGAGGGGCTGTCCAGGCTATCGCTCTGCATGTCAATCAAGTGTCAGGCGTGGGCCAGTGCCCGTGTCCGCCGTGTGTATCGAGATTCGTTATCACGCGCCCCAAATAATGTCTTCATTTGTTTCGGATTTTCGGACCGGCCGGCCGGCAGGGCGAGAAAGAGAAATCCCCGCGTCGGTCGGACACGGTCGCTTTTTGGGCCCGTTCGAAAAGTGTGGTGATGAGCGGCGGCTACGTGCTAAGTAGCAGGTGTGCCGGCCCGCGCCTCGCGCCACGGTCAGGTTAGGTTCCTTCGATTATAGACGGCCAGGGGCGTAAAGCGCAAGCTTTTAAGCGACACCGTTACAGTTCTTGAAATTTCCTCTTTAGTTTGTGTCAGAATTTTGGACTCTTCTGCACGAATCAGCAGCGGATTCGTTTCCCGAACTACCTCCCGAGAGTCCCCTTCCCCGCCTGAAACAACCATTTAGCTTTTATTTTATGGATTAAAAGAAAATGATTTAGGCCGAAAACGCATGTTTTGTCTGGAGCGCCGCCAGTGCACCGCCTTGCCGTTTTTTAATGCCGCGCCACCGCCCTCTCATTAAGGATCGCATCCCTGCCCCTTTGCCGTGTTTTGGCTCGGCCACCGCTACACTGTTGGGAAACGTGTCGGAAACTGGCGAGTCGCCCGTCCTTTTTTCGGAGGGAACCGAAAAAACAACAAAAACAACCAAAAAGAATGAAACTGAAGAAGGTTTGGTTTTTGTAGAAAGCTAAGCAAAGACCACACACGCCCGCTTTCTACGCGCGCGGCCGTGCCGGCGTCTAGGAATTTTTCGATCGCCCGGTGCACCGCAGTGGGCAAAGTGTTTACCTGTTTGCCTACACTGTGTTTGACTTTGTTTTGCCTCTTGGGCTTTATCGTGTCTTCCTCTTATTTCGTCATCGCGTTGAATGGACGGATGGGACGAAGGGACGCGCCAATGAATTGGTGCACGTCAAAGTCGATTAGTCGAAATTGCAATTCGAGAATTGATTCGCAGCAACTTCAATTTTTCATCGATTGCATGGGGATTGCTGCGTGGTGAATTGGACTTGGAAGGGAGCGTCAATGTGCTAAATGCGAATGCAACAATTGACGAGCGAGGCCTTGCTGAAGTTGCACCGCTGCTACCCGGAAGGCGCGAAGCTCACCGGAAGCTCGCTCGGCGCGGCTTGCAGCCAGGGACGTCATCTCGCTTGAGCCTCGCAGCAGCGCGATATATTCGGCGATCGGACTCGTTGGCCGACATCCAGACCGACATCCAGACCGGGAGGGAGGTCCAGATAGCGTCCAGGGAGACGCAAGAAAGGAAAAGTGAGCAAAAGGTATTCGCGTGCAGCCGGCCAGGCAGGCAGGCAGCCACGCCAGACTGCAGTGTAGGGGGGCGCGCCGGCTGCACTGTTGAACCAGTAAGGGACACCCAGGCGCGATAAGGTGTGTGCGAGACTGCGCATGCGCGTGCTTGCGTGTGTGTGTGTGTGTGTGTGTGAGTGTGTGAGTGCCGGGCACACTGCGGTGCATGATTGCAGTAAGCGGACACCCAGCGTGCCGCGGTGGACGCAGACGCGTCGTGGAGTGGACGTGTCGCCGTGTCGCCGTGTCGCCAAGGGCGAGGCCGGGAGGTGCCAGGCGGTGCCGTGCCAGGAGCAGAGCGAGCATAGCCAGGCCGCAGCACTGCAGTGCATGCACACCACCTGCAGTCCGGCCGCCGCGCCGGGTCGCGCCGTCGTCGCGCCGTCGCGCTGCAGGCTGCGTTCCGAAGCGTGCTCTCTCTCTCTCTCTCTCTCTCTCTCTCTCTCTCTCTCTCTCTCTCTCTCTCTCTCTCTCTCTCTCTCTCTCTCTCTCTCTCTCTCTCGCACTCACGGGGCAGGGGCACTCCCCGGCGAGGTTGCGGAAAACGATTAGTGCGGCGGTCGTCGTGTTCTGGCTCCCGGTTTTATATTTGCCGGCCGCGATAAGCGAGGCAGGCGGCAACCTCCGCCCCGCCCCGCCCCGCCCCGCCACGGCTCCGAAAAGATGCAAAGGAGCTGCAGCACGTCGTGTGTCATCGGACCGAGATGAAAACATCACGACGGCCGGGCAGAGGTCACACGTGTGCGTGTGTGTGTGTGTGTGCGTGA